ATGAGTGTGAGAGAGAGACGGAGAGTGAGAGAGAGAAAGAAAGAGAGATAGAGAGAAGGAGGGAGAGGGGAGGCCCTACAAAAGAGAGAGAGAGAGAGAGAGAGAGAGAGAGAGAGAGAGAGAGAGAGAGAGAGAGAGAGAGAAAGGGGGGGGGGGGATGGCAAAATTGAAATACGGGTCAAATTACGATCGTGATTTATTTCCCAATAGGAATGATTTTTTAAAATTTAATGAGCGTTTTTCCTGGAAAAGTCACAACAAAATATACGAGTGCTTCAATTTTCAGTTTTTTTCATGCATTTTTCTGTGCGCGAAAACTCACTGAATTTGAAGTACCTTTTTAGTTGGCCCACGCATGGCTGAGTGGCAAAAATGAAAAATGTGTCGAATCGGCGCGACGATTATTTTGCAGTCTAAATGATTTTTGCAAATGTTCTAATATTTTTCCTGGAAAGAACACGACCTCATCTATGGATTCTAAAAATTTCAAATTTCTCTGCGGGTTCCTCCGAGGACAAACAACCGTCAAAGTTGTCTTTTGCAAAACGTCTGTTTTGTTGCGCCCGACCTCCCTGTTTTGAGAAGAAGGGCCTCAACGTCTGGGTCTGAGGGCCCTTTTGTAGTCTACATGCCCTCACTTTTTTTTGGGGTCCGCTTCCACCCGAGGACCGGTCCAACGCCCCCCCACTTCTTTTCGGAGTCTACTTTCACCCGAGGACCAGTCCTTCCTCTTCCCAAAAGTCTCGTTTCTACCAAAGCTAGTTGTAGGTAGTCCACACTTTTGCCAAGGACTGATCCCCCATTTTTTTTTGCCCCCTAAGAACCCACTTTGCGTCCTGGTCGCCCGCGACCAAAAATGCGACACCTTGACACAGACGCTGAAGCCCACTATACCGCAGCCTTAGGGCTGCGAATGAAAGAAACCAATTTATCCCACAATCTCTTCTCTAACCTATACCCTGTCTACGTAATCAATTTTCTAGGTTGGGTTCCGCTCCACTATCAAATTCACAATTACTGTTCCCTACCAAATTCCTACTTTACCCTTCCCTTCTGACTTACTCTAAACTACCGAGGTCTAAGCGATATGAACTCGACCTATTCCGGTTGAGGGAACCAAATTCCTCCCAGGTTGATGCTCACCTATTTGACCAGTGGTGTGTCTACTGCGACCAACTCATAGAAAAAGCAACCGAGCACCCAAGTTGTCAACCCTGGCAACCCCTACTACCTATCTTACTTGTTCATCCATGGTGAGGTAACAAACTTACCCTCTCTCACTTCTTCGATGGCTCCTAGAGTTGCCCATGTCTCCCCAAGCCACCGCAGCCCCTCTTATTCGTTTCCCTATAGAACTTCCTCCTCCAATCCGCCCGGATCTCAACAGATTCCAGAATACCTTTTCCACTTGAACTTCATACCATTAATGGGAATGAAACCTTTTTTTATTTCTATCCAACCAAATTACCAACATCATGATGACCTGGGCTGACTGGGCTATGTATGCCCAACCCTTGTTGCCTGTTTCTACTTGGTTCATGAAGCCCTGCAACACCCAATTTTTTGATCCACTTTCCTCCCTTACATCCTCTCCCAATTTGCAAACCACCAAAGTCACCACTTCCTTGACCTTAGGCAGTCCTACCACATGTGGATCAATGTCTCGATTGGCCATGAGCACCTGTTACATTTTAGTCTCACGGGCATTCCTCTGGACTGAAGCCATCTTGCTGTGGGGATTGCCAAGTGTGACTGGAGCCAAAGAAGCGAAGCTACCTTCTGAGATGGTAAATATGCTAACGGTTTCCACAACCGAATCAGTTGATCCTCTATTGGGGTTGACAGGAACGGCTGCGCAGTCTCCCATTTGAGAATCAATTTTCCCATTAGCATACTCCGCTTTGAGCATTTCTTAAGTGCAATTGTCGACTTCAGGTTACACAAATCTTTTATCACCTCCCCCCTTGCCTCCCATCCCCACATACGAGGGTCAATTCTCAAAGAGGGTATTGATATTCCCTCGGCAACAAGCTTGAAAGCTACTGGTGGGTGTCTGTGTCCTGTAGCACTCTGTCGGACTCTGACTTCCTGGAGTCCCTCCAAACCCCTTCGAACAACAATTTGGTTTTGTTGCAGAGTTTGTTCCATCGTATCTTTCCTGATGAATTTTTTCATGTGATAATTCTCGCTCCCATCCTT